TGACAGATCTAAATGTATGCGTTGCATTTACTGCCACTCTGAATGGCAGTTCTCATTTTGCCCCTGCCGCTTACATCAAGCCTAACAGTTCCCCCTCTGGATTCTGTTGCTCTCTTCTCCTGTCCCACAGTCTCACCTCATGATCTTATGTTCTTAACTGCACTAGATAGACACAAAATGACCTGTCATTTGGTATCTACAGTGATGTCAAGAATTAGTCATCTGTTCTAGAATGACAGGCATGAACAAGTTAGAATGACACAATAAACCATAGCATGGTACACATGAAGCCCCTTATCACCCTGTTTTATGGATGAGGAAGCGGTCTCAAGGAACATCTGGAGGCATCACAATCCCTGACTTCAAACTCTACTACAGAACTACAGTACTGAAAACAGCTTGGTATTTACATAAGAACAAACAGGAGGACCAACGGAACCAAATAGAAGACACAGATGTTTATCCACAGACCTATGAACACCTGATTTTTGACAAAGAAGCAAAAAGTATAAAATGGAAAAAAGAAAGCATATTTTACAAATAGTGCTGGCATAACTGGACATCAACATGTAGAAGAATGAAAATAGATCCATATCTATCACCATGCATAAAACTCAGGTCCAAATGGATCAAAGACCTCAACCACACTGAACATCATAGAAGAAAAGTGGGAAGTACACTTGAATGCATTGGCATAGGAGACCACTTCCTAAATATAATCCTAGTAGCACAGACACTGAGAGAAATGGGACCTCCCGAAACTGAAAAGCTTCTGTAAAGAAAAGGACATGGTCAACAAGACAAAACGGCACCCTACAGAATGGGAAAAGATCTTCATCAACCTCATATTGGACAGAGGGCTGATCTCCAAAATATACAAAGAGCTCAAGATATTGGTCATCAAAAGAACAAATAATCCAATAAAAAATGAAGTACAGACCTAAACAGAGAACTTTCAAAAGAGGAATCTAAAATGGCTGAAAGATACTTAAGGAAATGCCCAACAACCTTAGCCATCAGAGAAATGCAGATCAAAACAACTCCGAGATTCCATCTTACACGTGTAAGAATGGCCAAGATCAAAAACATTAATGACAACTTATGATGGAGAGGAAGTAGGGTAAAGGGAACACTCCTGTATTGCTGGTGGGTGTGCAAATTGGTGCAGCCCCTTTGGATATCAATATTGTGATTTTTCATAAAATTAGAAAACAGCCTATCTCAAGACCCAGCAATACCACTTTGGGTATATACCCAAAGATGCTCAATCTTACCACAAGGATGTGTGCTCAAATATGTTCATAGAAGCATTGTCATATCCAGAACCTGGAAACAACTTAAATGCCCCTCGACTGAAGAATGGAAAAGGAAAATGTGGTACATTTACACAATGGGTACTACTACACAACAGAAAAAATATGACATCTCAAAATTTGCAGGCAAATGGAAGGATCTAGAAAACATCACATTGAGTGAGGTAACCCAGATCCAGAAAGACAAATATCATATGTACTCACTCATAAGTGGCTTTTAGACATAAAGCAAAGGAAACCAACCTACAATTCACAATCCCAGAGAACTTAGGCAACAATGAGGACCCTAAGAGAGACATACATAGACCTAATCTACATGGGAAGTAGAAAAAGCCAAGACCTCTTGAGTAAATTGGGGTCAGGAGGACCATGGGAGAGGGTAGAAGGGGAGCAGAGAAATATGTAGAGCTCACTAAAACCAATATAAAAGAAAACCTTAAAAGAAAAAAAGAATATTTTCCCCAAGACTATCTGACTATCTCACTCAAAGGACAGAGGCTATTTGATAGTGTGTGTGTGTGTGTGTGTGTGTGTGTGTGCATACATATAGACACCAGAGTGCACAGTTACAGGCTGACTAAGAATATAAATATTTCAAAGCTTTTGTAGAGAAAGTTCATTGTCAAGTCTGTACCATTATATCTTGGGAGCATAGTCAGTGACTGAAAAAAATAAAAGATTTATTACATCTTTGGTGAGAAAGTATTAAAACTTTCTGAGTAAGCCATGGGAGGGCAGTTATCAGGTAAACTTTATTTTAAAGTTACATTTTTATACACAAGTAGCATCTATGTGGCTTTCTCTCCTATAACAAACTTGAGCCCCAGAGATATGGTGAAACAAGTTTGCCTAGGGCCTGCAGAGATGGCTCAGCAGTTAAGAGCAGAGGACTGTGTTTCTGTTCCTAGCACCCACATGGAGGCTCACAGCCACCTGTAGCTCCAGTTCTAGGGGACGTGATGCTGTCTTCTGTGGGCACTGCATGCTCATGAGCCAGAGACATACATACAGGCAATACACACACAGACAATAAAATAAACAAAAGCTTTAAAAGAATTGTATAATGCCCTATGCCATCAAAGGAAGGCCCATTCTGTCATGGAATTCACCTGTCTGCCCACCTCAGAAGAAATAATTTATGCCTTTTTACGTATTTTAAGACCCTTTTCAGTTTATATATACACAAATAAAACATTGCTGTATGAGTCATGATAGTTGTAATGTCATTTATCATGTAAAGTATATTATGCTTGGGTTTTATTTATATGTACAAAATGGAAGACTTGGGAAGAATGTCTAATCTAGAGGTTGACAGTTAAGATTCAGAATTATATCTCAACTCTGAGAAATGCAGCTCCTCTCAGAGCCAGACGCCTCAGACAGAGACGCTATGCTCAGCTCTCCCGGGTAGACTCGACAGCTCTGCTCTCTGGAGCAGAGACGCCAGGCTCCCCTCTCCCAGGAAGCTCTGACCCAGGATGGACGGAGGCTAGAATCTTCCCAATAAGTGCACCTTGGGGTGCTTACACACATTACTAGAAATGGTCTAGTCCAGGTGCGAGAGTTAGCCGAGAAGAGGCTAGATAGAAATGGGCGAAGCAGTGTTTAAATGAATACAGTTTGTGTGTTGTTATTTCGGGCATGAGCTAGCAGGCGGCCGGGGTGCTGGGGACGCAGCCCTGCCGCACCTATTTCAACACAAAGACAAAAGATGAAAACATAACCTGTATAGATATTAAATCCCTGCACAAAGAATAGGCAACAAATAGAGAATTCTGATATAGCGTTATTTTATATGAAAAAGACCTACAGACTAGGTTACCACAGACTCAGAATGCAATAAAAATTCTCACATTTTGTCACACTAGTAATTCTTGTCACTGAAATAGAATTTACTTTCAGAATATTAGGACTTCATCCAAAATATTTTATTTTCCAAAAGATATGCCAATTTGTGGAAAATATACTGCCACTTTTATTTGAGAAAAGACAAAGTCAATGCCTGGCAAATGAAAACCCTTTTGCTACCTTTGGTCAAATATTCCTCACCAATCCTGGGGTTTTGACATGGAGATATGTAGAGATAGTCATTGTCATAGCTTTCTGTGTTCCTTCTGGGAAAATGAACTTTCCAATGAGTGACTCATACTTTAGCAAAGACTATTCACATCAAATATCTTTTCCAGAAGGTTTCAGTTTAAGGGCAATAATAGTCTAACCCCCTCCCTCCGAAATCCACACCCCAAGCCAGGAGATAGCTGTTACTCTGATGCTTTCAGAAGGCTGTTGCTCCCTTTCCTGCCTCCTCCCTGCCCTCTCCCTGCCCCCTCCCTGCCCTTCTTCCTGCCACCCTTTCCAACCCCTCCCTGCCCCCACTCGGCCCCCACTCTGCCTCCTCTCTGCCACCTCCCTGCCCCCTTCCTGCCCCCTTCCCTGCTCATTTCCCTGCCCCCTCCCTGCCTCCTCCCTGCCCCTTACTGCCCCCTGTCTGCAGCCTCCCTGCTCCCTTCTTTGCCTCCTTCCCTGCCCCCTCCCTGCCCTCTCCTTGCCTTCCTCCCTGCCCTCCTTCCTGCCACCCTCCCAAACCCCTCCCTGCCCCTCCCTGCTTCCTCTCTGCAGCCTCCCTGCTCCCTTCCCTACTCCCTTCTTTACCTCCCTCCATGCCCCCTTCCTGCCCCCATCCTTCTTTCTTCCCTCCCAGTTTTATAGCCTAGATTAACCTGGAATTTGGGTTTCTCTTGCCTTACAATCGAGACCTCTGGGATTACAGGCATTAGCTACCACTCTCACCCCTCATTTCCACCTGTACAAATCACCAAATAAGAAAGTTTAGAATCTTTTTTTTTAAACTCATAGACAACCTGAAACTTGTTGTCTTGTTATTTTAAATATGGACATAGTGATTGCTTGAGGCACAATAAAGTGTAAGTGCTGGGAAATGAAATTTCTTTTCAGCAAGAAATCAATATTATATTTGTGCATCTTGGTAGTATTTATTACTGATAATAAAAGGTAGGTAATTGTAAATTTTTCTTGACTGTTTTCCATTTTATTCTATAAGTTAATAACCAGTGTTTTATACAAACACACTGTTTTAGGTAACAGCCACTTGAACAAGAAAGCTAAATTAGTGGGAAGCAATGTACTGATGTTTTTCTGAGAACGTTAAGCCATGGTTTCATTTGAGTCATCTGTCTTTGCTCCGATGTCTACTGTAGCACGTGAGAAGGAGACTCAAGGTCTTAACTCCATTACTGGCTTTATTCAGCGCTGTCAGGCCAAGAAGAGGTGTTTATCCACTAGTGTGTGCTTCTCCAGAGAGACAGGCTCATTGTAATTCTCTCAGCTTTCCTTCCCCAAAGAAATATCTTTATCTCGGATCTGTCTAATTAGCCAATGCACGAGGAACAGAAAATCGTGAGACAGTCACAATGCTCATGGTTGCTGCTCTAAAATAAAAGAAGCAACAACAACAACAACAACAAATCCTCAATAACATTTCTGTCTTTATTTCGTGGTTTACAATGTGGAGCAAAATGGATCAAACAAGCATAGATTTGTGGTAACAGAGATGGTGCTTTTGTACAATATCACACATACTGTGAACCAAAGAAATATTTGTACCACTTCTCCAACGTTGACATTGGAGTGACATTGTAATCCTGGCCATCTGTCTTCCTCCTCTAGACATCGATGAGTGTGCGGTGGTGAACGGAGGCTGCCAGCAGCGCTGTATTAACACTCTGGGCACCTTCCACTGCGTGTGTGATACAGGGTACAGACGCCATGCTGACGAACGCACCTGCATAAGTGAGTAAATATTAGAGCCAGCTTGAAGCCATTTTCAACGAAAATCGACCTGCCCATGCGAGGGGCAGAGGAGAAAGATTTTTCTATTATAAAAAATATCTATAGAAGCTGGTGGCATTCGAGTTCAGTTCTACCTTCTAGAATACAAAAGGCATTTTGCTATTAAAAGATAGACAAAGATGGAGAAAGAAGTGCAGAGATTAAGATGTATAAGCATAAGTTGATACTCCACATATGTGGTTATTTCTATACTGTATAATTTTGGGCATATTTGGTAGAGTATAAATTTGTTATTTATTACTTATACAAACAAGTATGACACCAACCTAAAATGATGGGGTAACTTAAACCATGATAATTACTAGGTACGGTGATCTCATGTAGAACTGTAGTCAGAAATGAATTCAAGACTAAAACTCAGACATCAACAAAATTATAATAGGTTATATTCCAAAGAACTTAAAGTTACCCAAGTGCACTTAAGACTACACATATTTAATATAGGTTACAGCATATTCATTCTGCCACAAAATGCTCTAAAATGTAATTTTGGAGCAGTAAAATGATCATTTATCTATTCATGTACATGATTTCAAGATTATGGATTTCCTGAAATAAGTAAATGCTACTTTTGGAAATGAAAAGAAAGAAATAGAGTTTTAAGAATGCTTTTCCTCATAAGACTATCAAGATTCCTTGTTTTCTCTGAAATAGTCTAAATAAAAGTGTTTTATTTTTCAGCGAGTTATGATTTTCTCCTGACATAATGATACATTCCGCCTTTATCTCAGTTCCCTGTTTAAAGTCATTATTATATTAACAACTTAGCACCTGGTATAGGACAGTTTCATTACTTTGTTTATATAAATTTTATTAACCATTCTTTCCTTACCTAACTGTTGTTAGTAGCTTACAAAGTATTTTACAATGTGAAGGAGCGTGGGCGCACATACGCCTTCTGCCCTTCCTATCAGGTGTGAGAGGAGATCAGCAAGCAGACAAGGATGCTCTAGTCATGATCTGCTCTTGATGGGAGCAAGCAGGCTGTGAATGTGAGAAAGAACGGACAGAGAGGGGCAAGAGGGAAGAGAGGTCCCTTTTCAAAGTCAGATGAAGGCAAAAATAGAAGGCAGACCCTAATAGCTAGGAAGTCGAATCAACATGGTGGTGGTCGCGAAAAGCTCTTGGGGCAGGTCAGTGACCCCAGCAGATTTATTCAATGGAAACATCCTCTTGTTTTTGCAAGATCAATGGCATTTCCATCCCTAGGTCATGTGCTACTAGCATCCCCTCAAACTGCTGCCCAATCCACAGCTGTGCAGGAGCAGCAGGGGCTGATGTATGCAAATGAGATATTTGTTGGGAAAGGACAAACTTAAGCCAGTGAAAGTTTTCTCTAAAGTAAAATCATTTTTGAAGTAATGGTTTATATGAGTCAGTAATACTGGGTCTTTGTGGAAAGGCAAAATAAACAGCAAGCGGAACTAACTTTTGTCTGGGTGTAAAATTAGTTTTCTAAACTCTTAGCAATCAGTAGCTGCTCCAACTAGCCGCTCTTCTCCCCTTTGCCATCATTGTTATTGTGTTAATGACATTGGGCAAAATTGAGCTTCATTGGATTGGGATATTTTGGTTTACCCCAGCTATTTCTTGTCCTTAGGAGCCACATCTAACTGCCTATACATGAGACTGCTTTGACAGCAACTTAGCCTCTGCTCTGTATGTGGGTCAGGGGACAACCTCTGGCACTGTCCTCACAAACTCTCTTCATTGCCTTTGAGGCAGATGCTCTCGTTGGCCGAGAGTCACCAACTAGCCCCAATGAGTCCCAGGGGTTAGCCTGTCTCTTCAGCAGCCCAGATGTGAAGTGCAAGTATGCACCACCATGCCACACATTTCTAAATGTGTCCTGGGCATTTAACTCCGGTTCTCATCTTTGTGAGGCAAGCATTTTAGTGACTGCGCTATAACCCTGTCTTCTGGCCTTCACAATCACATATATACAAATGCACATGTAAAATTGTATATGCATGTGCACACATGGTTCGTTGTAGTCAGAGACTGCTTGTTTGTTTCCCGTCTGCCCGGTCACGAAATAATCACACTGGAATTATATTAATTGCAACACTGCTTGGCCAATAGCTCTGGCGTATTCCTAGCTAGCTCGTACATCTTAAAGTAACCATTTCTATTAATCCATGTATTACCATGTGGTTGTGGTCTACTAGTAAGGTTCCATCCAGTGCCAGGCATCTGTCTCCTGAGGCAGCTACATGATGACTTTTTGACTCTGCCTACTCTCTCCTCCTCTATCTGCTTGGAATTCCCGCCTTGCCCTATTCTGAGCTGCAATAGGCTTAAAGCAGCTTCTTTTTTTAATTTTTTATTTATTTATTAAAGATTTCTGACTCTTCCCCGCCACCGCCTCCCATTTCCCTCCCCTTTCCCCAATCAAGTCCCCCTCCCTTGTTAGCCCAAAGAGCAATCAAGTTTCCCTGCCCTGTGGGAAGTCCAAGGACCACCCACCTCCATCCAGGTCTAGTAAGGTGAGCATCCAAACTGCCTAGGCTCCCACAAAGCCACTTCGTGCAGTAGGATCAAAAACCCATTGCCAATGTTCTTGAGTTCTCAGTAGTCCTCATTGTCCACTATGTTCAGCGAGTCCAGTTTTATCCCAGGCTTTTTCAGATCCAGGCCAGCTGGCCTTGGTGAGTTCCCGATAGAACATCCCATTGTCTCAGTGTGTGGGTGCACCACTCGCGGTCCTGAGTTCCTTGCTCGTGCTCTCTCTCCTTCTGCTCCTGATTTGGACATGAGATTTCTGTTGGTGCTCCTATGTGGGTCTCTGGCAGCTTCTTTATTAACCAGTGGCATTCACAGCATACAGAGGGAGTCCCACATCAGTCGCTGATGTCCTTAAGCAGCACATTTCTCATATCGTATCACCTTGCACCTTTCTGAAGGCAGCATCAGGTACTCTACTGGGGAGAAGCACTCTCCATGAGGGCATCACAGCAAATGAAGTCATTGTTGAGTAGTAGAGCCTAGACACAGCATGGTGAAACCAACAGGAGTGGGGTCCAGACACTCGCATAATGAATAAGATGAGTTGGGAAAAAATGAAAAGCAGAGACTACGTTTTAGCAAGCTTAAACAGAGCAGCAGTATCCGTGCTTACATGAGTTTGTGTGCCAGGTCTTATCTATGCAGACTCAGGACTGTAGCTCACGTGGGAACGTGAGCTGCAGGAAGTCCCAACATCTCCACATCCTGTTTCCCTGACGAAGAAATGGATAAATCACTCTTAGAATGACTTCAGCACTATCATGTTAATATTTTACAGAGTTCACAAAATTATGAACTCATTATAAGCTATCTGCTGAGAAAAAATCTCTACTGGATTGTGCATATCTACAACCCTTCTTTATAACTCTTATTTTATTTAAAAATAGTTAAGAAACATGGACTTTTACAAGCGCAAGCAGGAGAATAAAATGTTAGAACTTTATGATTAGTTTAATAATAATAAAAAAACCAGTGGGTACTTAAATGATTTGATTATATATGCATACTTAGGTGCTCTTTTGAAAACAGTTTTCCATATATCATTGAGCTGTATTTAGGAAGAATTTGAGGAGTGATGGAGCCCATTTTCCTATCTCAAAGATAAAAAGTTTCAGAGCCAAAGATGTCAAAAGACTTTCATGGAGTAAGAAAAGAGTTTTCTGAAAAATCTACTTAAGTTCACTTCGGATGTTTTCTTTAAATTTCTGATAAATGCAAATGAAGCATAGCTCACAAAGACACTGCTAAATCTAACTCATGGCCCATATTAGGAAATAAAACTTTCACCACAGCTATTGATAACATAAGTCAACATGATGTCATCAGCCTGGACGGAAGTGCCTGTGTGCCACCTCCCTCTGCAGTTCTGTGATAGGCTCCGCAAGAGCTTGACACTTCCATTCTCTGTCACCCTTTCTCTCTCTGGACTGCACTTTCCTCTGAACGTAGGACATAGCTGAGCCCCAAGTCTGTCTTTCAAAGCTCATTTTATTAAGGTTTCTCTGTGATACTAGCTAATGACATTCTCCCCAATGTCATGGTGTTCATGCTTTTTAAGTGTAAAGCATAGCACACATGTTTTGTTAGCTATAAATATGTATATATCCTATTTATTCTTATCTACATATTCTTATATGTGTATACAAGAAGCTGGCCTTTGTGGCCAGACAAAAGTCAATGATAACGTCCTGTTAAATACAAGGCATGTTGTTCGCATTTTCTTTTAGGCTCCTGACACTGTTGGTCACTATTTTTTTTTTCTAAATCTCCCATTGGCTTCTTGGCAGTGCACTGTCCACACTCAGTGGCTGCATTGCTGGGCTGTTTTGGTTAGCGCAGTTCTGACGTTCCATATCTAGCACCCTTCTCTCTCTCTCTCTCTCTCTCTCTCTCTCTCTCTCTCTCTCTCTCTCTCTCTCTCTCTCTCTCTCTCTCTCTCTCTTTTCTTCCCTTCCTCCCTCCCTCCCTCCCTTCCTATCTCTTTCTTTCTTTTCTTAGTTCACCCAAAGAATTTGCTTCCTAGGGAAAGATATGAACTTGTTCCAGAGCTCTAAGCCTTGGGACTTTGGCAATGTCCTCTGTTATAAAATATAGCATCTCTGTGTACTTTTCAGTTGGCTATTGTCTTATTATTGACATATATATTAGAACCTAAATAATGGTAATAGGAAATGACAGCGACCATTTCCAGTCATTGTTTTTGAATGGCTAGGGAACAGAGACTAATGAAAATCACCTAAACTTTTAGTATTTGGTTATATAATTCACATTTTTAGTAACTTCTAAAGCTTATATACAATAAGTTGGCATACCACTTAAATTGTCTTGAATTTCCATTGTTAATACCAGCCTCAGAAAAATGTTCATCTCAGCTATCCGTTTATAAGCATATCTGTCCTCTGGTGTGTTTGTTGAAGTCAGTCTTCTCAGAGAGA